AAACACAATATAATTTTTAATATATATATGGCTTATTCTTGAACAGCTATCAGCTACTCCATCTATTGCTGGGATAAAAAAAGGCCATAAAATAAATGACAAATGGAAAGTCCTCTGATAACAATGGCATAACAGCAGAGATATACAAATGTAGCAGCAAACTCCTGGCTTGTAAACTTTTTGATCTCTTCTTTAATCTGGGATTCATAATTAGTTCCTCAGAAGACACTTTTATTGTTCATATCTATAAGTACAAAGGCAATAAATATGAACGTGACAACCATAGAGGTATCTCCCTTCTGTGTGTTGCTGGAAAAATTCTTGGCAGGATCATCTTGAACAGACGCAACTCTTCTCTGGCCAATTCAGTCTTGTCTCAATCTTAATATGGCTTTCAATCTGGTAGAGGCACTGAGGACATGATTTTCAGTTTGAGGCAATTACCAGAGATAGCACAAGAGCATGACAAGGATTTCTGTTACTTTCTAAGGCTCTTGATACTATTTCAAGGGATGTTCTTTGGAAGTTGGGTCTCAAGCCACTTTCAGCCCAACTATATTGTCTGTGTTCCCTGATGGATCAGGGCAAATGAAATTAGTCCCCCCTGATAGCATCTCTTAAGGAATTCCAAGGCAAGTGGGGAGCATAGAGGGCAAATGCAAAAACAAAATTATAGGAGAAACTCTAAAAAATAATCCAAAAGACAGTACAAAAATTCTGAAACAGAAAGTGACAATGAAATACCTGGGGGAAAAAAATTCTAATTTTCATCATCATAGAACCATTAGAGGGTGAAATAACAAAAATATCATCTTTTGTGTTACAAAAGGTTATATCAACCATGATAGACCCAAAATCAGTAGAAAAAAAAGACAAAAAAACACTTCTAGTTCAAGTAAAAACAAAAAATACACAGAAAACATACTAAAAATTAATCAAATAAACAACATGAAAGTAAAGGCTTACCACCACCAATTCCTTTACTCCTCTAAGGGAGAAATAAAATGCCCAGAACTACTGCTAAGCTCACTGAAGAAATTAATAATGATGGCGCACTAAAAAAAACAAGGCGTAACAAATGTCAAAAGAATACAAATAAAAAGAATGGCACATCAATAAACACAAACACATACATTTTGAATAGGATATACAATATCCAAGGTAGAACCAAACATCCCTAACCTCTGAAGATTTTACAACTGTCTGAAACTTGGCAATCTGCAGGATCAATGTACGAGAGTACCAGTCTGTCAAAGATGTGGGCAATTCGTAATAAACAAATTTAAAAATACAAATCCTATCCTGTCAATCTCAAACAAAAAAGAATCTAAAAGTACAGAACAAATAAATCTGAAAACCCCAATCCAAAGTACGAAAATCATTCAAGAACTAGAACCTTCTAAGCATTCACAAGAGAAACAAAAGGTCCATAAAAGAAATAACACAACTCAATATTTCACTGAAGAACCAAGAGAAATGGTCATAGATGAACAAAACTCTATCTTACCTGAAATAAGGTAACGGTCATCATCCAGACAAAGATTGCCAAAAATCTAATGAAAAACAGATCAAACATGACAAAACAGACAAGCAAAAAAAAACAAAAAAAACTCCAAAGAACAAAGTATGACAAGAAACACAGCCCTAACAAACTGGAGGGCATAGAAATTATGGACACTTCACCCACTAAACATAAACTGGACAAGCAAAAACACATAGCAACACCCTAAGACATAAGCATGATACAAAAATTATAGTGGAATTGTTACGGCTTAAAAACAAACATAAATGAACTACTACTACTCATAACAAATCAACTTCCTGCTGTCATATGCCTTCAAGCAATGTTCCTAGATTGGACTTTACAATAAAATATAAAAGAAAAAATGTTTGTGGGGAAGTTGGCTTCAGTCATTCTTGATAAATAGTAGATCCTGTTTTTAGCCATACCTGACGAACAATGGAAATTCTCTACCATACTTGGGGTAGGGGATTTTCCTTCAATCATGCTTAACAAACTGTTTCTTTCAAAAGTTTTCTTTCAACCATATCTGAAGAGCTGTAAATCTTGCTCTCATCCATGCTTGATGAACTATAGTGTGTTGCAAACAATAAATTTGGCTCTAAATGACCCAGGGGAGGTTGAGGAGCTATTAAACAAAATCAATCAAAGTTCCCCAAAAAATTAAATTTCAGCATTAAATGACACATAAGGAGTTGATATGCTGTTAAACAAATCTAAATCAGTCAACATTAGCAAGTTGGGTGTTCCTGAAAGGATGGTTAGTATCATATCTTTCCATTAGGGGATGATGGCCTCAGTTGGATCCACTGGAGAGGTGTCCAACCCATTCATTGTCTAATTGAACAAAACAAGGTTGTGTTCTTGCACCTCTATTTCTTTGTGTTTTTCTATCAGGCTGGAAACAGCATTTGCAAATGATGAAGAAGGTGTGAGAACAACACTAACAACACTTCAAAGCAAGAACTAAGACCATTGTGCAAACTGTTTGTGACTTGCTCTTTGCAGAAAATTGCAGCCCACACTCGTGAGGATATGCAGTGGAACATTAACAAATTCTTACATGCATCAAAAGCTTTTGGTCTGACATTCAGCATAAAAGAAACAACTTCTCCATCAGCCAACTGTTTATGTTGGTGGAAAAGCCTTGAAAAACATTGCTTCTTTCACCTGTTTTGTCGCCATTGTATCCAACAATACTAATTTGGAAAAAGAAATTGAATGTTAGATTGGAAAAGCTAGTTCTGCCTTTGGTAGTCTTTTTTGGTATATATATATATATATATATATATATATATATATATATATATATATATATATATAATTAATTTTAAACGTATTTTCTGTTTAAACATTTTTATAGATACAAATATTTAAGTAAATGTTCTGTTTATACTAAACAGTATTAACAACATTTACCAGCCTGAATGTCCAAAAAATCTCATAGAAAATATGAGTCCTCCGACAAGAATTGAACCTATGCCATTTAGCTTCAGAGGAAGTGTCTTCTTAGCAAGGTTAAATTACCTTTTTTAAACTACAAACTTCTTATGATTTCTCTCAAATGTTTATATCTGCTCAAAGCCCATCTTAATGTAAACAAATGACATAATTTATTAGTTAATACTATTTATTATAGACAGAGCATTTACTTAAATATTTGTATCTATAAAAATAACATATAAACAGAAAATATATTAAAACAATTATCAGACTTCCCCAAAATCCTTCACAGCCAACAAGACTATGTTAACTTATCAGTAAGCAACTATCCTATGTAAGTTTATCCAGACCTGGACAAGCCTATGGTCTAAATAAACTATACTATGAAAATTTGGACAATCTAAATGCCCTAACTAAAATCCAGTTGATGTAGTTAGATCACTGTGCCATACCTGGGCTTTCCCTGTCCAAGTCCACTCTATCTGCTTTGGATGTTCATTTCAAAATTTATCAACCAGATCATGTCTGGTGACAAATTCATGAATATTTTTGTTTTTTTAGATTTAAAGTAATGTTTGTAACCTTCCCAATGTCACAATGCAGGGCAAGGGGTCTACTATCACTCTTTCCAAAGACTTCTTCTCAGAGCAGTCTACAGAAAGGTGCCTAGTTTCTCCACAAGTTGGTTTTCTTCTGAAGACAATGACTGGCAATTTACAGACATCCACTTCTAACCAGTTTAGAATAGTGTTAAATCTTTTTGAACTATCATGAGATTAAAGCATCATTCCCCCATCTTTATGTCCAGGTTGACTTCTACGATATCTCCATATTGTAGAAAAAAGCAACTACTTGTTAGCCTGTGATGAAAGCTGGAACTTCATAAACTGCCATTTTTGTTGCTGTTGTCCTTGATGTTCTATTCTTATTGCACACTCCCTTATTTAGAAGGTCCTTTTTCATAAGTGCCACACAGTCTACTGTGGTGGGTAGGAGTATATCTCACCTTGGAAATTCTTTCTCTTTCATTATCTGTTGATGATATATATCTTATATAATCTTTGGAAGATTTTTCTCTGTTGCTTTTAACTCTGTCACATCAATTATTAGGCAATCAATTTTCATCTGGTGGGTATATACTCGTGTTTCTCTCACAAAGTCATCCATGATACAAGGTGGTGGTGACCCTCCTGATGTCACTCTTTTCTTTTTCTTATGGATAATTTGGTCTCTTTCACCTTTGGCTTAGATGCCGAAATTGTCTTAGCCCCCACTATTTTGCATTTTTTTATTGTCATTTTCTTCTTTTCCTCCTTTTTCAGGGGGTCATAAATAGGGTTTTAAGTGTCCTTATAAACATCTTCCACATCCATTTTGGACAAGGCAAGGTCAAAAAGACATCATTGCTGATAACTGCAGCACATGCATAGGATCCTTTTTTTCTGTCAGATTTTTCTGTTTGTTGTCTGCACAACGAACTAAAATAATGATGGAAACATCAGTGCACAAAATTAACTCTTCTGCACCGGCAAAAGGAAAAGAATATTTCAATTGCATGAGTAGAAAAATCTAATCTTGGAGAATGACTGCTAAAAATCACCCCTCCACAAATTTACATACAGATCCTACAGATGCATGTTGAGATTTCTTCCTACAAATCTCAATCTTGCTCACACATTTTTTTTCTTTCCTTGAAGTCAGAAAGCTATAACCACTTGACTGTAACACATTGCATGTGAACACTATTAAAATTTGTGAACTTTTTACTTTGTCTTATAGTTGCTTTGCTTTGCTACATATTATTTTGTCTTGTCTCATTATTTTGCTCTGTTTTTGTTTTCCCCCTCTTATTGCTATTAAGAATTTTGTCAGTTCTGCTTAACACTTTTTCAACACTTCTTTAATAATCTAATTCTTTATATTTATTTAAAAAATAAAAGAATATGTATATTTTTTCCTGGGTTATCTGTAATTGTTTTTAGTTATAATAAAAATTTGAAAATGTAATTTTTCTTATTTTATAATTTTTCTTTAGATTGTAGATGAACAAGATTTTTTTGAGATTATGCCAAATTATGCCAAAAATATTGTGATTGGGTTTGCTCGGATGAATGGACAAACAGTTGGCTTAGTTGCAAATCAGCCCAAAGTAGCAGCAGGTATTTTTTCCAACATTGTTTATAAATCTATTAACTAATGCTTATAATTTAGTAATAATCAGTTCAAGCAATTTGTTAAAATTAACAAATATGTTTTTAATTTTACAAATATCTGATTCTGAAATGAATCTTACAACATATAAATGTATTAAATGATTAATTTTCTAAAAGTAAATTCTGAATACAATAATGGAACATGAAATACAAACAGAAATTCAGTTTTTCCTGAGATTGTGGATACATCTATTTATAAGATCTATAATGAATTTGCTATCTAGTCACTTGTGCATATTTTTTATATTTATATTCACTTAACTGATGTTTCACCAGTTGTGATTCTTGTACCTAATTTCTTATCTTAATAAAAATTTACTTTATAAAAGTGATCAAATTCTAATGATCTTGGTTACATAATTAACTGAAGATGTTGCAAAGTAATAATTTATATGAAACCTAGTATTATTACACTCACTGATTTAATAGTAATTGATTTGATCTTAAAGATTTTTATTTATTGATAACTTTAAGAATAAATAAAATCAATTGTTTTTTTGTTAAAATTTTTTTTTATTGTATTACAAATTTGCATGTTGCCTTAAAAAAGTTACATGAAGAAAGACTGCAATATTTTACTAAAGATTTTTGCAGATTTGGAATTGGGCTTTAAAAAATGACATAGTGATTTGAAGTTTTCAGATCTCTACATAAAAAAAAAATCATTAAATTGTTTTGCAGTTGTAGACTTTTGCAAAGCATTCTTTTAATAAAGAATATTCATAATAGCTTTAAAATTTGAACATAGATTAATTCATTTAACCATACAAAATGAAAGACTCAGAATCAGAGACTTGTTAGATTTAATTGTTTGACAAAATGCCTACTGAAATTATTTGCTGCTTTTTCTTTCATTATTCTGTTGACCAAAATAAAGTGATTCGCTGTTTGTCAAAGAGGCTATGAGTTTGATTGGCATTTTTGTTTCACATTTCCAAAATACAAACTATAGAAAAATAATGTATAACCCCTTACACGCATCACCCACTCAACTCTTGCGGCTCCAGCCATTAGGCCCAGCAGAATCCCAATCAGGACCAAGTGACAACAGTTCACTCTCCACCCACATTGTGAATTTTCTGACCTGAAGAGTGATCTTGTTGATCCTGGACCAACAGAGTCTGTTAAGTGTGCTGAGGGTGGGACAAGGGTATATTAGTAAAAAAAATAAATTACGATAAAATAATCATGGAAGAAAGACCAGAGTCACTTCAATAGAGTTCAAATCTTTATATACAGGCAGAATTAAAATTAAGGAGAGAGAGAGAGTTGGCTGCATATCAGGTTCTCTTTCTCAGTCATTCCAATTTCTTTATTACGTCCACCTTTGTTTATACAACAGGGCCTTTTGCTTGAATCATATCAGGTCTCCACACACTGCTAACAACGGCTACTATGATCTTGTCTCAGGAACTTTCAGGGACTTCACACTACTTTCCACAATTCTGATGTTCGTGGCCCTGCTCGTCATTTCTTGCTACTTTCTGCGATTCTTCTAACCACACTACCATGATCTCTGTGACTCTCCTACTATACCTCTAACCAATCTATGTGACTCTTCCATGATCTCCTAACCTATCTCAGCCCAAATCCCTGCTTATATCGAAGATGGGTGGGGTTGTTATTTTAAGAGTCCCCATGCATAATTGCTGCGGCCAATTGCTGGCAGCCCTCCTACCACCATAACTTGTATCTTTCTACTAATCCTAATTCCCCTCTCACTTCCTTTCAGTGGACACTCTTACTTACATCCCCATGGGTGGGCCCGAACGGGACAGCCACCTGAGAATTGTCGTTATTGGCCACCCTCCACTCCTCTTACCTCTGGCCAACTATATCCTGGTCACACACATAATTCCGGGTAGCCTCAGGACAGCTAATAACCATCCAAAAATTGTCCTTATCTCTCACTATTTGACTCCTCTTTCCTGTGGTCAAGCCGCACGCATATTTTCGGGTAGCCTTTTCACCAGGACGCATTAACTTCTCTAACAATGGTCAGTCACTCGTCCAGAACTATTAGTCACCAGGATGTCTAGCCCTTCATTGTTTATGTCCACAAAAAAAGCAGGAGATAAAAATTTTGGTGACCTCTTCAAAAAAAAGAAATAATAGGAAGATTTTTTTTTCATCCTTTTCCTTAAGCTAGTCACTTTATCAATATTTCCAGTTAGTCCATTAATTTCATCAAGTTACTCATAGCCTCAATTTTACTACCACTCGAACCTTGATCAACTCATTACACTTCGTTAATTAACACTTATTTTAATTTTGCCAACTCTCTCTCTCTCTCTCTCTGTCATAAAAGAATATATAGATATTTTCTAAAATATTTTGCATTTAGTTATGTATTGCTAATTTTCAATTGTATGGTAACTTATAAGGATAAAATGACAGTGCTAATAATGAGTGACCAAAAATCTGAGAAAAATTGCTTCTGTCTTCAATTATTTCAGTGAATTCTGATTTTTCTTGAAGCATCTGTAGATACCTGTTTCTATTTCAACAGCTTACTGTAAAAGTTTTATTTGTAAGTTTGAAAATTTCTATAAATATTTATTCTCAAAGTACTAATTTAATTTTTTTTAATTTCATAACGGTATGGCGAAAAATAAGTCAATAATTATTTAAAGATCACACAAAAATATTTTCAATTTGTGTAACTCCAACTATGATGTACTAATTTATTATATTTTTTATTTTTTAAATTTAGTTTTATTTTTTGATTTTTTTTAAAACAAACTGAGATTATTATATTTCAAAATTTACTGCAGTGTATTATCTACAAGTGGAATTCATTTTTTAATAATTTCAGTACTATGCATTGCTATAGTAATTATTTAATAAAATCAATGTTTGCAACTATTTCTTTCTTTGTTAGGATATTTTTTTTTTTCATAAGGCCTTCAGTTTCTTAATCTGAAGTTGACATTGGTTAATTTATTTGAAGTTGTGGTCCATGTTTCTTAGGCATAAATTATATTCACTTATCATTTTGTTTAATCTGTTTTTCAGTATATTTTAAATCATTTCTACTGCAATTCATTCTACCATTTAAACATTTTGCATCCAGTGTAATTCTTTTTGGCCAAAGCTAATAAAAGAAAATAATTAAATCTATAAAACTGAACACTACTAGCCTGATGTATGGGAAAAAATGTAACTATTAATATTTTTCAGGTTGTCTGGATATCAATGCTTCAGTGAAAGGTGCACGGTTTGTACGATTCTGTGATGCATTCAATATCCCTATCATCACATTAGTAGATGTACCAGGATTTTTGCCAGGTAATTTTTGTTTGCGTAGAAATTCTATTGTGAACAGATGAAAGAATATTTCTTTTAAAGAAAGATAAGTTAGGAATTTTGTAAGCTTTCTAACTATATAATATGCCAAATGTATTTGCATATATATTGTCTGTAATTGTGATGAATACAGGTATTAATATACCAATATTTTATAATATTAAAAAAATGATGAAGCAATACCAATACTGAAGTAACAATGCCAGTGAAAGTATAGGCTTATATATATATATATATATATATATATATATATATAGTTTTCATATATGCTATATATATAGGTAAAAGTGCTCAATATCAGGAATAATGTGTGTAAATATAAAAGTGAACACAGGTAAATACTGAGTGACGTCAGTCTTACAAGATTTCAGAACTACAGCTAAAATCACTATAATGGTAATAAATATAAAAAAGTATGAATGAAGAAAGTTCTAAATAAAAAACATGTTTAAAATTTATAAAATATCGCCTGAAGATTGTATTCAAGTATGTAATAGACTGTCACATTCGGTATTGTCCTCAGTGATGTTAAAAATTGATTACCAAGAGTCTCTGGAAAGCAAGATGACTCTTTGGAATGACGAAGTGACCCTCTAGAAAGTTGGAATGACATCTTGGAAAGACAAGGATTTACATTAAAGCATGAAGAATACAAGATATACAGAATGCCCTCTGGGTGACTGTAGCAGGGAGGGAGAATATATCACCCATCAAACTGATTTTAATGGAAACAACCTGGATATGGACTCGGCAGAAGATTTAACGGTTTATGTATCCATAAGGCATGCTGGTGCAAACAGTGTAATTCTCCTATCGGAGAATGTGAATTGAGTGATGGGATTATGAATCTGGACTACACCCACAGCGTTCAGGATTCCATCGTTGAGCGACAGCACCCTGGAGAAATCCTAAGTAAACCAAGAATCCAGTGGCCCAAAGGTAACAATAAGGCTGTTTGGACAAATCTTGACAAAGAGCTTTCTTTTATCCTTAATAACAATCTTAAGGGTCCGATAGGGCAACAGATCAGTTCCTTTTGTAGAATAATATACATTTGCTTTGAGTGGTTTGGACCAGTAATGATAAAAAAAGAGGAAAAACGACCAAATCGACAAATCCAGAATGGAAAGTTATGATCAGAACAAAGATTACTGAAGCGCCGTTTTAAAGAAGCTCCAATTCATGAGAGGGCAGGCCTTCAAGAACTCATGAACGATATCAGAAGGAAGATTCTAGTGATATCTAGAGCTGAAAATCAAAGGAAGCATCAGAAGAAAAAGCGGCAGTCTTGGAGATCTTTCTTGATAAATCCACATGCATTTGCTAAAAAACTCTTTGTGGAAGCAAAAAGCGGCAAGCTTGATATCCCATAGGAGGAGTTGGAAAATCACTTGAAGATGACGTATTCAAATAATATGCAAGATATACTAATCCCTCTTATAAAAGATTTACCAAGACCTCAAGATCCAACAGTTATGTTTGATGATAGTGGGATAAAATTAAGTCAAGTCTGAGATTTTGTCCAAAAGGTACGCGCTGGTAGTGCCCCTGGAATGAATGGGATATCATATAAACTATATAAAAACTGCCCATGCATTCTTAGGAAACTTACTATCCTCCTTCAGTGGGTTTGGAAGCAGAATAATGTACCACAAGAATGGTGTTTGGCTGATAGTATTTGGATACCTAAAGAGATGGATTCAAAAGGCATTTCCAATTTTTTCCCCATATCCCTCCTTAATATAGAAGGAAAAATATTTTTTGGAGTCCTCGCTCGTCGAATGACAGATTTTCTATAGAAAACGATTACATAAACACATCTGTCCAGAAGGCCGGGATACCTGGCTTCCCTGGTTGTCTGGTGCATGCACAAATGATATGATATGGAACTCCATACTATCAGCCAAAAGAAATAAAACAGAACTCCATCTAGTATGGCTTGATCTTGTCAATGCATATGAGGTCAGTCCCACATCAATTAATAGGAATGGCTCTTGACTTTTTCAATTTCCCTAGCAAGATTAGGGAAATCATAATGAAGTATTTTGACTCAGCTTTCATGAAATTCACCGTTAAAGATTACACTACCAAGTGGCAACCACTTGAGATTGGTATCATGATGGGCTGTGTGATTTCCCCGCTTCTTTTCGTTTTGGCCATGGAATTGATTTTACGAGGCGCATCTACCACAGTCAAAGAAGTGATAACTGAAGAACAGCTGGTCATTCCCCCTTCTAGGGCTTTTATGGATGATATCACAATTCTCGTCTCTTCTAAAATTGCTGCCAATAACCTGTTAGAAAAGTACCACGATCTTTTCATATAGGCGAGAATGAAGGTAAAGCCCAAGAAAAGTCGAAGCCTTTCATTAGTCAGGGGATCTGTTAAGGAGATTCACTTCAAAATTGTTGATGACACGATACCAACAGTTAAAGAAATGCCAGTAAAGAGCCTTTGACGGCTGTATACAATCCCACTGACTGACCAACATCGGTGTACAGAGGTTCATAAATCAGCTTTAAAGGGACTAATTTCGATTGATAGAACCTATCTGCCTGGCAAAATGAAGGCGTGGTGCTATCAACATGGTCTACTACCCCGCCTTTTGTGGCCTCTGCCAATGTATGAAATTGCATTATCTCGTATTGAGCGCATTGAGCAAGTGATCAATAACTATTTGTGTAAGTGGCTTGGAGTTCCTTCTTGTTTTTCGAAAGTGGGGCTATATACCAACTCTGAACATCTGCAGCTCCCTAGACATTCATTGGTAGAGGAATTCAAGGTTGGGAAGGTACGCCTTCATATGATGATGAAGGACTCAGCTGATGATTGCATACGGAAGGTGCATCCAGAGATTAAATCTGGTACAAAGTGGTCAGCTGCAGAGGCCACACAAAACGCAGAAAACAGCCTGCAAGTCAGAGATATCATGGGCGTGATGCAGAATAATCGGGCTCGATTGGGAAACACGACGCACAAATACTTCTCCAAGGAGAAAGCAAAGGGAAAAAGGCATATGGTAATTGAAGAAATCAAAATGTTCGAAGAGGAGCATAGAATAGCTACTGCTATTACTCAAGCTAAACAATGTAAGTGGACAACATGGAATGATATCGAACCCATTAAACTTTCGTGGAATTCATTAATTGCAATGGAACCATTGGCGATATCATTCCTTCTTCGGTTTTATACAATCTCCCAAATGAAACAAACCTCAAAATGTGGGGATACATACAGATCTCTTTTTTTTTCAAAAGAGATACCTTTATGCTTGTGCTTTCTGCTTGTCCACAATCGCTCCAGATGTACACGTGGAGACACAACAACTGCTGAGTAGTGCCAGTTATTGGAAGGTTTCAGTGGATCTAATGACATCCATAAAATTTCTGAGACACATCACACAGACAGACAAGCGTCCCGACATTATGTTATGGTCCAACTCAAAAAAAAAAAGTCTTCCTAATAGAGTTAACAGTCCCTTGAGAAGAGAACAGGTTGAAGGTGCACGAACTAAAGAAAAACTCACTGCATGCTGAATGTATGGAAAATGGTGGACGTGTAACGTAGTGCTTATTGAGATTGGGTGTCGTGAGTTTCTGGGACATTCGGTCATTTCCTTCCTTTCAAAAATAGGTAATCACTGGCCATTGGTTGAAAAAGCATTTCGCATCGGATTAAAAAAACTGGTCAACAGAGGTCAAGTTGGATTTGGTCGAGATCAAAACAAGCAAAGAAAATGCACGCAACATCATGACATGACATGACATACACAAGTGAAATATTTGTGTGGTTTATGAAAATTTATATATATATATATATATATATATATATATATATATATATATATATATATATTTCATAATATATATATATATATATATATATATATATATACACAGATATATAGATATATATATTAATAAATGTACATAAAATTATAGTATTTTATGTACACTGATAAAATTTCATGAGAAAGGTACCTAAATTAATTAGATACCTTTTTTCTTATGAAATTTAATCTCACTATTAACAGTCTTATTTTTTAATTTCTTTATATTTTCCATAAAAGCATCGTAAACGTAAAAATGAAAGCTAAGTACAAAAAAAAAAAAAAAAAAAAAAAATTAGAGCGCTGAAAAGTTTTCCTTAAAAAAAACAAGGTAAATAATTTGTTCACTTAAATAATTTCACTTCCTTCCATCCATAGAAAGAATTACTCCTCCCGTAAGTTATCTAAACGTCATGAATGTGCCTTTCGTCAATCGTCAAGCGACGCGAAAGGTTATGACCTGCTTTGTTTTATTTTCAAATTACATTTTTTCAGCGCAGAAGCTAAGTTAAGCTTGGTTCAAAATATTTTAAATAAACAGTATAATATCTGTTTTTATTAAAATCAATTTTGAAAAAATGATAATTGATTTTTAAAAGAATATCAAAGTAAGATTTTAATCTTTTTTATCAAATCGAAAAAATGATTGAAAATGATTATTATCTGTCCTTTTTTTTGAAAAAAAAAAAAAATATTTTTAACGAAAATTTCAGACGTGCTAGGAACGATTAAAAAATGTAAAAAAAAAAATACCCCAAAAATACTTTGATCTTTCCTCTTTAATAATAATATGAACATTAGACGATAAAATTTTGTTTTCGTCAAGTTCGGCGTCTTTTTTCATCATGCTATGCTCTTTTGTTTACATTTTCGTGGGTGAGTTGTCCCCTTTCATTCTCAAAATGTGTCTTAATCGTGTTTTCAAATTGATTTTATTAAAAAACAACTGTATTTTTTCATTTTTTTAATCCCGTTAGAACCACCAAAAGGTAATTTTATGTAGTCCTGTGAAGTTTTGTTGAAATCAACTAAAAAATGTAGGAAATTCGATCCAACATATAAACGTTACAGACACACACACACACACAATAATTTTTTTTAAAAGATTAAAATAATATATATATATATATATATATATATATATATAATATAC